TCTCACAAGTCCCTAGGTATTCTTCTACACAGCTTCTAGCTTGCGATGCCTTCAAGTTCTAGGTCGAGAAGCGAGATCGATATCTCAAAAGGGAATACCCTCAGTACACCCTCCCCTTGCAAAACCAACGTACCTACATGATACATTGGACCCCCTTCACATACGAACCCACCAACCCACTCTTTCCACAGTCCTAACACGTAGTCCCATCCCAAACCTCAACGCTTCAGACACGCCCACAGAGGAACATCGGCATGGTCCGAAACGGTCCTCTTCCGTACCTCCTTCATACACATACACATACACACATCCCCAATATCAAATGAGACATTGAGACATGAAAGACGTGTTCGTTTCATTCAATCATTCGTATAGTTGGATCGCAATAGCACTACATACCTAGTCCCCCGTTCCGCTTCCCCCACCAGTGGCCCCATTGAAAAGTCCAGAAAAATCCCTATTTCCTACATGGCTACCTTTCTAGATACGAAGCACATTCACCACGTCTTGATCATTGAAACTCGGTCTACGGTCCACGGTGCTTCGTACAGTGCACACACACGCACGCATAATAAATACCTACCTACCTGGGTATAGGAGAACTCATCCCTTTCTCCTCCCTCCCCCCAACTAGGTTGAACCGAACCGAACCAACTGATCTGACCTGACCGCTCTTTCGCCTATTAATCTATTCTCTCCTATCCTATCCTATGCAGCTATCCATCCAATCCCATCCAATCCCATGCTACCCATACTATCTATCCATACCATCTCTCCATCCTCTCCCACACGACCGTGTAGACATACATACATACATACTCAAGTACTCGAGTACATACCGACACTCCCAAAATTCAAAATTCAAAATTCAAACTCTCAGTTTCAAATACTATAATGCATTCTCCATTCACGTTTACATATCTAGTACTCCATACACCGTACTCCATATATATAAATCTATCCATCCATCCATCCATCCCTTCCTCTCCTCACCTCTCCTCTCCATACAACAGCATCAAAACCATGATTACACACCTACAGATTTATACATCTATCCATCTCTCCATTCATTTATCTATCTATTCATTCATCCATTCACCCAATCCATAAAATCCTCAATCCCCATTCAATCTCTACCCAATCAATCCCATCCTCATTCCCGTTCCCATATCTACCTACCTACCTAATACCCCCAAGCCTACATAGTATAAACATACTCTACCTCACAACTCAACTCAACTCTACCTAACAATTCACTCTTCACTTCAAATTCATTACTCACCTCACTATCTCCATCTGCATCTTACCATCTCCATCTCCATCTTACCATCTTATCATCTCCATCTCACCCATACAAAGTATCCAGCTCTCTTCTCTTCTCTTCTCTTCTCTTCAAAACCCCCATTCACTCACTTCCATACTTGATACCTGCCTACCTATCTACCACTATGATGCACCATCCATCATTCACCACAAATTCCCACGTGTTTTTTTTTATAAAAGAAGATTTCCTATAGAAGGATAGCTATACCTAATCCACACAAAATACTCCACAAATATAATTCTTCCTTCCAGGAGAAAGTAACAGGTCTAGTCATATCGACTTCACAATTATTTTTTTCAGAATCTCCAATAAAGTTTTAACATGTTTTTTATTATTGATTGATGTGATTTTATCTATCTATTTCCCTCCATTCTACCAGTAGCCAGCCATCAATATCTGTATACATACAAATACCAATCCCAGCACTGTCTTTTCTTCATTTCACCCCGTACCGTCCCATCCATTCTATTCCATACCCATCTTTCCATGCATCTATCTCAATCCAAACCAAGCACATCGAGCATCGACATTATAGACGATAAACCCATCCAGCAATTGTGAATTTATAGCGACAGATACAATTTGCGATCCATTCCATATTCCCTAAGACTCCGGTATGATAGACATATCAAAATATAACCATGCATACATACTCATACTTTCCATCACATCGCCTATTGCAAACTTCTCATCCGTCCATCCATTCACCATTCGTTCCTCCAAATCGAAGCAGGAACAAGGTAATTCTTCGCAAAAGTTCGCGCACGGTAGATATCTGCACCATTGAGTTCGTTGTTGTCATGCCGTCGAACCTGTCGCATCGAATTCTATTTCCTCCCATCTAAAGTGCCATTCCATTATCATTGTCGTATCATGTCATTACGTATCGTCAAAAGTTTTTTCGAAGAGGTCAGTTTCCTTTTCGTTTCATTCATCCTTCCTTTCCATTGAGACGCCTCAACATTAAAAGTGTATTCTTCCCGTGAAATACAACACCACTACCACAGCAGCAGCCACGAGAATAGACACCAAGATTGTGACTCCAATACAGATGAAGCGACATCGGCGTTTCTCCTTATACTGTTGATCCAGCCAATCTTCACCTCCACTATTTCCACACAGCATGGTTAGCAAAAATACTTCATTCCACTCCTCTATACCCATATACTCCTGTTCATTCGTTCAATTGCTTGATCCTCCCTCCACCTCACCCCCTATCTCCCTATTGTCCAACTCACAATCCGTAAATGACAAAACAATCCACGATCCACAGAAAAAAACATATTTAAAGACCTACCCATAAGAATCCTTTCTCTCCACACTCTCACTAGCAAATCCACTCTCCAGCTCCTTCAAATCCACCTCCGACATATGTACCGCCGTCGAGAACCTCTTCCAAAACATGGGATCTCTCACCAAACCCATACTGGGCGATTGCATAGAGATAGGTCTTTGCGAGACTTCTTGTTTCAATGGTGAAGGGCGATGTTCCTTCATCCCAAAGTTGCGTGGCTTGCCTCCCATTTTTTTGTGTTGGAGTGGGTATCTGGTAAATAAAAGATTGTGGTTGGGATATCTTAGTTGAGTCGAGACGATGAGGAAAGTTGTTTGGTCAAAGTTGTTTAATTGGATCAGAAGTTGACTGAAACGTAGACTTTGATGCGGCCTTTCTTATATTAGAAAAGATAATCTCGAGGTTGGGAATATTTGGAAAGTTGAGTTTGGTTGTTAAGTCGAATGCAAAAGTGAGTGTAATGGTTCAAGACTAGTCTCTAATCCAATCCAGATATTCAACACCACACGAAAGAATGTGTATGGTAAAGTCGCGGCACGGTGCCTGCTCCAATTACTTTAGAGTTCAAGAGAGAGTGTGTAATTGATCTGATCTCTGTATCAATGCGATTTCAAATCTGGAAAAAGTGAACGACGATAGGATAACAAGAGTGAAATATAGGTAGAAAGAAAGCAAGCTTCAACTTTCAGATCAACATTCAAATGTTTTGTAAATAAAGAGAGTGAGTATGTGGGGTTGAGTGAGTGAGTGAGTGAGTGAGTGAGTGAGTGAATACAAAGACAGGACGAGATGAATCGAAACAAAACGAAACAACTTCTTAGAAAGAGATGAGATGAGATGAGATGAGATGAACTCGATTGTTTGTAAGAAAAAGAAAAACTCCGTTCCGTTGTGATTTCAAACTGCTTATATTATAATATGATTCTTGTTAAGTTACTCGGTACAGGCTTCTATCTCATACTCACCGATACAAACAGGAAGGAACCCTGGATGTGAACAATTTACAACCAAAAAAAAAAAAAAAAGGTGAAAGCTGCACTGCATCAGCTGCAGGAAGAAGGTTTGGGATGGGGATCCACTATCAAATCGTGAGTGAGTTTTTAATATGCTTGTTCTGTGATCTTTCCTTTTGTTTAATTCTTTTCTTCAAGCCTTCAATAGTCGATAAATGCATGAATGAAGAATGAATTGGATGCTGCTTTATCTTTCCATCTACTATTACCACAATATGTAAAACAGAGTGAATCCTACCAAAATCAACCACCAAATAATAAAAGCAGCACGTAATACCGTTGAATCTTCAAAGTCCAGGCCATAATCCATAAATCGTAGATGAGCAGGCCCAGGAAATGAGAGTGGAGTCATGGCGATGCAACGATGCAATGAAATCGATTTGCATCCGATGAACGAACTCCAGATAAATCTCATTTACAACCATTTCAGGAGCCAATCACGTCAGCCACAAATATATTGATGATGAATGTGTGACATCAAAATCCAATAAATTTCAAACCCGAGTTGTCCAGGAAGGGATTGCATTCATTCATTGCATGTTGCGTAGGTACCTACTACCTATTGAGCCTACCTAGGTTTTGCATGTGGATTGATATACTTTGTCCTCCGTAATAAGCTACTGCTAGGCATATACAAAGAAGTATCAATGCCGTCTGAAGAATCAGGAGAATAGCTTCAATGATCATGAGGGGAAAGCTATACCTCGTAGCTAAGCTAAGGTAGCTACGGTAGCTAAGAAAGGGGTAAAGTTCAAAGGTAGAGAGAGTACAAGCTTCCCATTGTATCTAAGCGTCTGTCTACGTGCTCACTCCGTCAAAGATCATCAGAATCAAATCCCTATGAGTCGTCCTAATCCTAATATCTAAAATACAGCACACGCGTATCGTAGGTCGTACTAAACTTCATTTCCCGCACCCAACACACATTTGTAAAATGTCTCCTAGCAACCCAGCAATGCAGTGCTCATCCTCTGTCTGTTCTGTACCACACACCAGTTGAGTGAACACAACCACTCACAACCACTCACTTCCCTTGACTTCACACCACACCACGCCATGAAAACAAACAAACAAACAAATAAATAAATAAATAAAAGTCCTTCCTGCCCTCCCCCACCCATCCATCCATCACCCCCACATCTTCAATCTATTTCCAATCTATCCCCTTCCACCATCCACCATCCACCATCCACCATCCATCCCGTCGCTTACCACCCACCTTGTCACTACAATCACCACTACACATCAGCAGCGCCAATCAGCAGCCCGCATTCCCATCTCCCAAGCATCCAGCCTACCATCCATCCCGAAAAGCAAATAAACGAATAAGAAAGAAAGCAACAAACCAAACCAACCCGAAAAAAAAGACATGGGTAGCATAACCCCCACCCCCTGTCCCACCCACCACTACTGGCAAACCAACATCCCCTCCACAGCGCACACCGCGCACTGTCCGCCGGCCCTGCAATCCCTCTCCGAAAAAGACATCCACATCCTGCTGACGCCCGACTCCGCCGCGCGCTCGCTCAGCTGGCCCGCCGTCCGCGACCTGATCCGCACCAACCGGCTCGATCTCTTCCAGCGCAAACCCTCGCAGCTGCGCAAATATCTTGAATACTGCTACGCCATCAAGCAAACCCACGGCTCCATGATGCGCTTTATCCTCGACGAGAAACTGCAGTGGCACGAATCCGATTTGTGCGCGCGCCATGCCCCGTTTCGGAATGCGCATGAATATAAAATTTTAATCAATGATTGGCCCTATGGTATTGATGAGAAAATCGTCCATTTGGTCGTGTGGACGAAATTCGCGCTGGAGGATGATCTAGAGACTGGGGATACGAGGGATGATGTGAAGAGGGAAATTCAGACGTGGGTGGATCGCATGTTTGGAGAGAAGTGTGGGCGTGAGAATGTGAGTTACTGTTCTTTATTCTATTTCTATTCTTATTTTCTAGATACTTCGTATTACTTATTACTCTATATCTGTATGCGAGTGAGATTTTGTGTTATTTACTTGGCCCTGTATTGACTACCTAGTAATTCGCCTGGTATCGTCTTGTCTGTCATGTGAAGAAAGCTGATGAAGAACTCCATTTATAGGTAATTTGGTTCAGGAATTGGCGAAGCTTGAAATCGATACATGCGGTAGAGCATTTCCACGTTATGCTATATGACCCGGCTCCTGAATTTGTGAAGAAAGTGACGGGAATTATTTGAACCTTGAGAAGCAGTGAAGTTGCAGTGAAGTTAAACACTAAAAGAATAGATTAATCATGGGCGGAGTTGAGAATAATGGTTACGGCGTTCACTCACAGAATGGTATTTAATAAAGTGGCTCGGGTAGGTTATAGAATAATCAGATAATAAACATAATAGTAATTAGAATAATCATAAACAATTACAAGAAGATGGTTTGACTCATAGTCGTGGATACACAAATAGCTGAGATTGTATTTTCTATTTTGTGACCTATTCACAGCCTGGTGACGACCAAGTGTATGCCCTCCTCCCTATTTTCATGATCATGACTGGGTATAATTTCATGGTTTTCAATACTATCAAAAATTCCGCTTCCAAAATTCAGGTATATTCTTTGTAACTCCTGCACCATCCAAACGCCACTAATATTTTGCAATATGCCCCTTACGCGTGAGCTATCCATCACAGCTCTCCAAGTACCAATCTCACTTGTCTAAGCATACTCTCGAAGAATGCCCAGACCCTCTTCTCTCTGCAACCTATACGACTCTTCTTGCTCCTTTGCCTCCTTGATCTCATCCTCAACATCTTGTTTCCAAGCTCCTAAATCGGGTGGAAGATCTTGACTTTGTACACTTGGCGCGTGTTCTACAAAGCGCAGCTGTTCATGAATGCTGGACACGATATCATTAATTTTTTTCTCGGAATTGTGATTCTTTCTGGCTCCAGTTTGACCTTTTGGGACTGATCCCTTAGCACTTAACAACTCAGTTAGGTCAGGGTATAAGGATTGATTTCGAAAATGATCGCGATAGGGTGTATGCATTGGAAGTTCCTCGTTTAGCTTTGCGCCAATTGCAATACTAGTTTCGTTTGTCCAAGCACGTGCAACATTTCGAGGTGTGTAACCGCCTCCTCCTACAAGCATAAGAGGTATGCCATACCCTTTGACATGCTCAACACAAGCGCCGTGGCCCTGAACAAGAACATTGAACGTTCCAATGCGATCACCTGCCAATGAATCGGCTCCACATTGGAGGACTATGGCACTGGGACGGAACTTTTCGACACATTTGTCAATGACTTGCTTGAACACCCTAATATATTGCTCGTCATCGATGCCGTCGTTCAATGGGACGTTGACAGCGTGATGAGCACCTTGGTTGTTTTCATTTTTCGGGCCGGTATCGTCTAAGGCGCCGGTTCCAGGAAAAAAGTTTACAGGATCCCATTTGTGGAAGGAAACAGTCATGACTCTGCCTGTTGACCAAAAAGCTTCTTCTACTCCATCACCGTGGTGGACATCTATATCGATATATAAAACTCTTGGAACCTTTCTTAAAAGTTGGAGTATTGCAAGTACAATATCGTTCACATAACAAAATCCAGAAGCTTCAGTCTTTTTGGCATGATGTAAACCTCCAGACCAATTTATGGCAATATCTGATGTCCCGTTACAAAGGCTTCGAGCAGCATCAATCGATGCACCCGAGTACATGGAACAATAATTAAAGAGTCCATCAAAAACAGGACAATCAAAACTACCGAGGTTGTATGGTGTCTCTATACGTTCGTCTGGCGGGCCGACCTTGGCACTTTTGAGATATTCGAGATAATCGTGAGTATGGAAATCCTCCAACTCCTCTTGAGTTGCCGCACGTGAAACATAAGTATCCATAGCGACGTGCATGCCATATGCCATGATCAATCCTTTTGATAGAGTCAGACGCCACGGTTTCATAGGATGTTTTGGTCCGAAATGATGTTTTTCGATCATAGGGTTCATATGAAACGAAACATTATACCCCGTCGGCCGAACGATTCCATTCTTTATAACTTCTTTTTTGACCTCCTCAAGGTATCTTAGGTTATCAGAATCATTTGGTTCTTGTAGTGGAACTCCCCATTCCTGAACAATAGAACTCATTTTGATTATTGCGGAAAGGCCTTAGATACTGAGCGCAATTGTTATGTGAATCAAAGCTGCAAGAATCCTCGATTGGGTGATTATGTATTTAAGTATCGTGAATGATCCAGAGAATGCGCTCGGCGTAGATATGCGAGTGAGTAGACGATAGGAAGATGCGCAACATGCAATTCGCTGGTAGCTCTTGATGAAGGTGTGTACCGTCTGTAAGTTTTGTTTAGAGCAAACAGATTAATATCAAATCTGCTATTCACCTAACCATGTTCTTTGGAAGTAAATCGAATTTCAAAAATTGTTGTGTAGCTCTGGTGATAGTACAACTCTAGCTATATATCATAGCCAAGTGTGCTCCTTCCTCTCTCCTCCCGTCTGGTAAGAATTGCAGTGTTATTCGACACTTTGCGAATGGTATAGGTAGGTGAATGAAATATTTCGAATGGGATGATTCAAACTCGACAATTTCCTCTAACAGGTATTAATAGTGACCGTTTTCCTTTATGATTGGAGTAGGTAGGTAGTGAAATGAATATAAGAACTGAATCGATCTTTAAATTAGAAAGAGTATGTGTAAACAAGTAGAATATAATGGAATTGATTGAGTTCAAGGTCTGGATCACCCAATCATCGAATATCAATAAATTATTATTGAGGCTCTGCGGAAGGATGATGAATTGAATGCTCTTGATCTTATGCTTACTAATTAGCTTCAATCTCCAAAAGCAAGGCAAGCAAAAGGCAACTCCTTCGATCATGACAACTTATGTGGATATTGAAGGCGATACGAAAGGTCTACTCGTACAATTGATCTTTTCCATTCTTATCTCTCATTCACCTTTCTTCCTCTACATCTCATTGTTATTCGGATATTCTTTGGGCTTGCCGAGTGGCTAAACGCTGACCTTCCTTACCTTCATGTCTATCTACATAAAATACCTACCTACCTACCTATCTACCCATCTACCTCTCTATTTATGATAACTCGAGTGCTTGTACTTGTCTGTACTTGTCCCTGTCCTTGGCCTTTATCTTATCAACTTTTCCTCGGCTCTGTGCTCTCTTTCTTTTTAATCGTCACAAGTCAGTCACAACCCACAACTAGACGGACAACAAAACAAACATCCCACCTGTGTGCATTCGCGTGGTGGTTCAACTAAATCCCCCTCCACGCATACACTCGCTCCCTGCCCCTCGAATTAATTATTTGTAAAAGGAAAATTCCCATTTTTCTTAATCAAATAGGATAAGAGTGCTGGAGCCACCCCCTTCCCTAATCTATACTGTGCCTGTGCAGATGATTGGTAACTTTTATCATCAATATTTTTAACATTCAAGGTAAGCTGTCGCAACTTCAATTTTGCATGCGCAATCATTCCTGCCAAAGGCATCATATTCTCATGATACCTCCATCTTCCTATCTGTCTTTTGATTTTGTTTTCTTTTCTTCGGGCATCACTTCTTACCTTCATAACATACGTTTGCTGCGGGATTCCCGTCAACGTTAATAACAATGCCCAGAGACGATCTTTCCATCGATTTTGTCCCCAAGTACAAAAATAATATCAATATGCCGCAGATGGAGCAATTAGATACAGCGGGAGTTCTCGATGACTGGATCAACCGCGTCGCAAATTTACCCCACGAAATTGCTTTCAAGCAAGATGAGATAGGAGAAAAGGATAAAGCTATGCAAGAGTGCCTCTCTGTCATAGCAAAGCACGATGCTGCTCTGCAAAAATGGACCAAGGCGAACGGGGCAAACCAGCCAAACCCAAAAGAACCAACCTTGAACAAGATAATACTCGAGAATTATGAAAAAGCAGAGCGCCTTCAAGATGAAAAAATCAAGTTATGTCAGGACCTAGAAAGTCTTGTTGAGGGACACGTTCGACGACTGGACCAGCAAATAAAAACGCTACAACTTAAAGGAGAATTTCCAAAAGATCCAGATCTTCCTTCACTACTAGACCCAAAACCGATCGATCGCTCCCGATTAGATACCCACGGCGGCACGAGACCACTCGGTGAAATCATAAACTCAGTCTCCTCTCCTCATGCACGGCATCCAAGCAATTCCAGAATATCTGCCAATGGTAATCAACTCAATGGCGCGATGGCATCTTCTGCGCCAGCAACACCGGCTGCTACTTTACTTTTACAAAGACAAACTCGGGAATCATCACTTGGCGCAATGAACAAGCGACCGCGACTTACTGGAGGACTGGGGACTTTACCAACAGCATCTAGTGGGCTTGCTCGCCATTCATCAATGACCCCAGGCACTCCTCGTGGAGGCACACCATCTGCTGTACGCGGTGGTAGTGCTGGACCAAGAAATTCACAGAAAAAGAAAGTGGCACCTCAGGGCAGCAGGCAAAGTGGCGCTCCACGCAAAGGTAAGCCCGGAAAATCTGGTCTTAGTAGATTAAAGCGAGGACATAAAAATTCGCCGTCCTCTGCAAATGACAGTGAGCTTAGCGATGCGGAATCTGGCTCCGTCGAAGAAGAAGAAAACACCGGACGTCAAAGCAAGGACGCTGATGGAGACGACGATATGGTTGATGTCGATGATGAAGAGGGTGGAGATGATAAGAAATACTGCATATGTCACAACATCAGTTACGGAGACATGGTGGCATGCGATAACGAAGACTGTCCTTATGAATGGTTTCATTGGTCTTGTGTTGGCGTTAAGAGTGATCCCTTGGGCACCTGGATATGTCCAGTATGTACTCCTAAAATGCCTAAGAAGGCCTAAAGCATTCGTTTGATGGGGAGAGGCGTTCTTGGATCATCAAAGTGGAATTTAGGGGGTATTGGTAAATACAATCATCTACGGATAAAGCCATGGGTAAATGGCGTTATAGCTAGAGGCAGCAGGCTAGCTCTGGGACTTATACCTCGTTAATAATACTTTTCAACTACTAGTAGACAGATGACAATATATCACCTCAGAGGGTTGAATATATTGGCCTTGTATTTCATAGGCCCCTTTTATAAAATACTATAATTCCAATTTTACATAGAACCAATGCTTGCTCAAGTGAAATTTTGTAACAATGAAACAATGTACCCCGCCATCGAATTGACATTATACAATTTTCTTTCGCCGCCTTATTCTGCCCATCTACAATTTACCCCGCCAAAAACATGGCCGTCGTTTACCCAATCCTACAAAATCACTTCTATGTCACAACCTCATATCCGCTCTTTCCTCATTAACCTCGCAATTTCTTGATTGGCAATCACAATGGAGTCTCAGTAAGTTTATCTGCGCTTTTTGTATTTTCGTCTCTATTGCAAACATCAAAGAAACCCTCATCACGTCAATATTCCCCTCGATTTTTCTTCAATCTGCATATTAGTACTTCTGATCGCCCTCGCTATCACTTCAATTGGCAACGAATCTCTGGGCTGCTACATTTACTAATACATACTCTCAAGAGTTGATGTTATCGACACTTCCACCATTCTTAGTGAAGTAAGCATTGGGAATTCGTTTAGCAGGCCAAGGACAAAGACTAATAGAAGTAGCATCATACATCTATTTTGAATATGGCATACAATTTCAACTCCTCTGCATGGATGTCAAGCTGGGAGCTTTCAAAAGCTCGTGAAGAGCCTGTAGCTATCATTAGCGTCAAGGACTTGCAATTGCAGGTCATCGCCGGAGCCGATGGGTGGACAGGAGATTGGGTTAAGACTACTTGTCCACAGCAACCAGCTCACGTCTCGGTGTCCCTTGCTTTACGACGACCTTTCAAGAAGGCATCTGAAGATGATGATATCGCAGGGGACACTATTCATTATGGCCTCATCAAAATAGCTATTATGGATGCTATCAGGGCTTATCATGCAAGAGGTATAAATCCTGAGTTTGCAACCGAACTTTCCATGAAGTCGATCTGTATATTCATCGCTTCTGTTCTTATTAGGCGCAGTATTGCAGTAGGTAGGAACGTCAATTGGTTCTCAGTCACAATCACGCTTCCAAAATCATCTTTACGAGGAGCTGGTGCCAGTCTTACTGCACAATCGATTTTCAAAAATCCTTCGTTAGAGGAACAGGAAGCAGGCACCTTGCAAAGCATTGGTCATATCGGAGAAAGTAGTACCCTTCGACTGCACGACCTCACAGTTCCCACCATAATAGGCTTGTTGCCAAAAGAGCGCACCATGAAGCAAAATGTGGTTGCGAATATTGAGATAGATAGATGGGTTGGCCATGGAGATCTTCATTGGGATATACAACAGATCGTTGTGAAGGTAGCTAGCATATTCCCCATCTTGCGTAACCCATTTACTAATTTCACTCGATAATATCTAGACGATAGAAGAATCATCATTCCAGACTTTGGAGGCACTGGCAGAGCGCATAAGCAAAAATATCATTCGACACTCTTTGATCCCTACCATGATAAAGCAAGCCTCCAGAACAGATAATTGGGATGAGCTCGCTGATGATTATGAAGAAGTTCCATGGGAGAAAACGCTTGTACCCAAATTATGTCCAATTGTTAAGGTCAAGCTGGAAAAACCCAGTATATACATTGACACCACACCATGTGTTGAAATGAGCATGGACATTCGACCCTCATGTGACTCGCCATACTTTTCTTTGTGGGAAGGGTACAAGAGGTTGCATATATGTCCACGTCCACTCATAGGTACGCTCACGGACTGGATTGCACAGGAGCGTGAAGGATCAAAGAACGGAACATCGTCAAACGTAGCAGGCGTCAATCGAAAGTTGGATGGTCTCCAACCCAATCTCGCCAAGACGTCCCAAGATACGGAGGAAGTCACTGCTCAGCCAGGAGAGCACCCAGAAAATCCAAAGGATGGAAAATCACCAAGGTTAGATCTGAATCAAAAGCTGGATGGCTCCCAAACTGACACCTCCATATACGATGATACCGAGGAAGAAACTGTTGCTCTTCTTAAGGAATATCCGAAAACTCCAAAGTATGGAGAATCGTCAATTGTGAGAGACCTTGATCGAAAGCTCAAGACTTTGCAAAGGAACATTGCTCAACTTCGAAAAACTACACAGGATATCATGGCTCCCCCCAAAAAACTGGATGATGAAGAATCTACAACATTGGTAGGAATTGGTCAAAAGCTGGATGCCTTCAAACAGGAATTCGCCGACGCTCAGAAAGTAATTCAGGAAATCGTTGTTCGGCAATCTTCTTCTGCGTCTAAAAATTTGTAGAGGGAAGGTAGAAGAAGGGTGCTGGGTAATGATGTTTTGTCAACATGGTGTTTCTGGGAGTCAACCTTTATACTCGGACCAGAGGATGATGAAAACTGGCGCCAGCATTGGAGTTGGGTTAGATGGCAACGGGTTAGATGTATGGAATTAAAGATGGCATTTTTTTCCTGAGAAAATCAGCATACACGGGGTATTTTGGATTGCGTAGGTTCCTTTCATTACGTTGAGGACTAGCGTTGTATATATTATCGTATGTTTAAACATCTTATATCAACGAGGCATTCAAATTTGGATTGCATTCCCTCTACAAGTTCTTGTGCTCCTCGATTGCCATTATGATTGTGACTATGAGTTTATAAATTAACTTTCCGGCTTCGAAGCGGGTTTCTTCAAACAGTTTTCTGACGGCCATTAACTGCTCCATGGTTTGATACTATCTAGCTTTGGATGTAAGCCCACGACTTCAATTTTGCGTTCATGTTCATATTTGAAGAATTTCAGTCAAAGAAACAAAACTTCCAGTGATTGAATACAAATTATACATTCTCATGTGTGTATGTGGATAATTACCTACTTCTACTAAAATATATTTTAACGATAGCAACCAATACAGGATATCCATCTCTTCAATAAAACTCCCAGAAAATAATATATGAGTGCGTATACGTATGGTAAGATATGATATGATAAGACATGTATGTATGAGATGACTCTCCCACTCCGAATCCAAATACAGATGCAAACCAAGCAGGCTCGCTCGCTCATTAATTGCATAAGTAGACCGAAGAAATATTCCAAACAACGCCGGTCCATGCTTCCAAGTATCCATCCATCAATTTATATTTCCAATCGCAAGAACCAATTTTCCAATAACAATATTACTTCGATAAAATAATCAAGAACTTATAATCGTTCCGGACTCTCCGCACCAGGCATGACCGTTTCTCGCGCAGCTTCTGCCTCCATTTCCAAGCCATCTCGCTTCAAGGTGTATGCTTTCCAGCCGACAAATGCACAGAGGATGATCCCCACTACCAATGCTGAGCCCATCAGCATACCATTAATTGGGACTGGGTTTCCGTTGAAGACCTTGTGGAGGAGCGCATCTAATCCACTTTGACTAAAATTGAGAAGACCTGCCAAACAGATAATCAATCCGTATACCGTTCCAAACGTACGGAATCCAAAGACCTTGGCTGAGTAATCGGATACGGCGGTGTAGTAGAAGGGACGGTAGAGGACGAAGAGAGAGATATTAGCATAGGCAGCCCAGGAAAAGGGGAGCATGCCGAGAACGCCAATAGTGGTCGCGATGGTCACGAGGAGGGAGAGCACAAATGTGGTACTGGTGTTGTCGAGAATGATGCCAATGAAAGGGATTGAGAGGACGCCTCCTAGTGGAAGAGCGAGATCGAAAAAGGTATTAACATCGACGGCTTTGTCGTAGGAACCAAGGAGGTACTCGTATTGTGGACGAATGGTGGCGACGAAGAAATTGATTCGTGTCATTTGGATAACGGTAAATAGGGTAATAAGAACGAACCACGGAGACAGGATTTGTTGTACAACGGTTTTTCCGTGTAACACTCCCCATACGCCGGAGATTTTATTCTTGCGCTCTTCTTGCTTAACTTGTTTACTGCCCGGCTTGGTGCCCAAAAGTTCGGTTATTTCCGAGACAATGGAATCACGACGTTGACGACGCTCCTCGCGAAGGAGAGCTGTAGTTTCGTCCATTTGATCGTCGAACAAATCGTCATCTTCGACCTGTTTAACCATTTCTCCTACTGTCTTGTACGATTGCGAAGGCATGACGAATATCTGTGCGATGAGGATAAAAGCCGGAACGATTAGATAGATGAGGAAGAACTGTTTGATGTGGAAAGTTCCATCACTCCATTGATATATGATTCGATATACGAGGAAGAGCGCACTGGAGGTGTCAAAGGCACCTTGAAAATCATTAGGTCAAGTGCGAAAGCAGAGGCAAAATAACAATTACTTACCAGTCAAAAGAGCCAAGATCAAGCCAGAATGCTTGGGAAAGGTATTCGAAAGCTGATAAGAGGTGATCAAGAAGAAAGCTCCTCCAAGTGCCAACAACAAATATCCTGGAATGAATCCATCAAATGGTAACTCATCAGCAAAAGCAAAGAGAGTAGCTCCAACTGCCAAGAAAATGCTTCCTATGATACCAGCTACCCTTGGACCAAAGTTATCCAAGATAGAGCCAATTGGTAAAGCTGCAACATTTGTGCCGACCGCAGCAATTGTGAACATCAAGTTCAAATGTATCTCTTGCTCAAAGCAAGTTCGGACCCCTTCTTTCAATTCATCTTCTGTACAATATTCTCGATAGACACCTTCGCGGATAAGAACTGGTTTGAGCGCTGCATATCCGAAGACGATACCGGCAGCGAGGAGACAGTATACCACTGCAATTGCGACTTGCACTACAATTGAAAGTTCAATTAGTACATTTCCGCATCATGATTCTAGACCACCAGACGAGACGATGTAGAGATGAAGATGCGCAGCCCAGCATTCCAATGTCGCATGCGCATTACAACAAACCAACAACACCAAGAAATACACTTACAAATTCGCTTCCCCTTCGAAACCTCAAAAGCAGCCACCGTTTCGATCTCCTCGACCACCTGCTCCTGCGGCTCCAAATCATCCCCCCAATTTCCCGGCAACGGGCTAAAGCTCAACTTCCTCCTCTGCGAACCCGCCGGGGACCTGCCTCGTTCCGGCGACAGCGATTCAAACGACGTTACTCTTTGCGACAGCGACATGATGGATAAATAATTCTTTCCACCCCGTTCCCCGTCTGTGCGACACGCCGAATTTTATAATCCGCGTATCGTATCTGAAGGAAAAGAGAAGCAGGCAGCGGTGACGCTATGAATACCTCGTGGTCCAATGGGTCTGAATCGTAACTCGAGCTGTTTTGCGGGGTAGGAATGTTTTATATAATGGAAACTCAAAATTGTGGCGGGGGAAACGCAGCGCTGCAGCTCTGCAGACCTCAAAGTTATTAGCGGGTAGAAAGAAAGAGCTTGCGATTCACGAGTTGCTCTCAAAACCAATGGCGTCAGAAAAGTTAAATGCAACTCTTAAAAATTCAGAATGATTCAATCTTTCAAACAGTTTCTTATTGTTACGAACAAAAGCATACAAAAAGTTACATGTACATTTTATAGGAAGGATGTATAATTTTTTTTCCATCCAAGAACAAGGTCCAACAAAATCTTTGCTTGCAACTTGCAAAAAACCTGGTACTTTTCTATCAGCTTGGGTCCAATCTTTTGTCGACTAGGCTTTTTTAACCCTGTACTTGCATACGCTGAGGGTCGTTCTACTGCATTAGCAGGTTAGCTCGTGATATTTAAACATTCTCGGCGGGAATTCGAAATTATTGAGAAAATCACAAAGGAAACTCCATCGGATCCCTCCGAGGGTTACAGAGATAATATATCGATTGTATCAAATATCAAAAGTGGGAAAGAGAAAGGGAGTAGTGGAAGAAGAAGGCAATCAATTTGCAAATCCATCTACAAAGTAAATGGATAAAGTCATTTGTTGGGAGGGATCATTTTATTTCATTTCACAGAGTGTACTAAGCATAGCTTCTCACGACATAATAAGTACAACATTGAAAATATGAATTTGGCTGCATCTCAAGGGATTCCTTCCCCATTCCCACTCCTTTTCCAATCCAAATATCCATTCCACATCATCCAGGCCTACATCGCCCATCGACCCTTTTACCCCCAGTGCCATCAAAACTCTCATGCTCTCTCCAGATGATTATTGTACCAATATTAACTACGCCAGCTTCACTCAAGGAAATTCGTCAAATACGGTAAGAAATAACGCGCAATAAATGAACAACCAAACTCGCCATGGTATCTCCCTCCCATAGAAACAAGAACAAGAAAGCAAAATCCATCGTAAGCTTTCGACCACCTATCTCTCCCCAAAAAACACACAGAAGAGACAGGCCACCCTCATGCTAGAAAATCTACCATCTATCCCTCATTTGCCCCTGAATACCGACTCTGTTATTCATCCTACTAAGAGCCGTGTGTACCGACGGGTGTGATGTCTCTGCTAGTCCGGCCAGTCTCTTTCTTGCTAAGCAAACTTCTTCCAAAACCTGAACGGGTCTTCGGACTCTCCGATCCATTTTCAGTAGAGCTCATAATAAAATTGGATTTTACCGTAATGTAGCCCGCACCACAACGGATTTGCTTTTCTTGCATTGTGCCAGTTTCATCCACGACAAGAGCTCCCTCGCCAAGATCATCGTCTGAGCCAAAGGTATTGTGTGCCTTGACAGACACTTGGAAGGTCGCATCTGCAGAAGTGGTGCACTTGAAGCTTTCTTTCTTCTCGTTGAAAAGTACGGTGCCGTTAGGCGATTTGATATGATCAGTCTTGTGAATGACTTTAGGCTTGGCACCCAGTGATTTAACATAGACCATAACGCTCGAAGAAGGTGGAAATCCCGATGCAGACACGATTGTGAAGTTTGCAATACCCACAGGTCCACCTGTAGCACCAGGAGAACCGAACATGCCAGAGTGCCCCGAAGATGCTCCGAAAGACTTGGTTCGTGCATGATTCGGTTCTGATGGAGGTGTCTTTGGAGGCATGATATCCGGAATTGGTACCCCTGAGCCGGGGAGGGCACTTCCACGCTTTAATCCGCCACTTCCGTTAGTAATAGGAGCTTCGTTGTCTAATTCAGAACTAATGCTGCCATTAAGGTCGTCTTCATCCTTCTTCTTACTTTTGAAGCCGTGTCGAATAAAGGAGGCTCCTTTGCCAACACCATGTGCCGCAAAGCCAACACCCTTGATTGGAGCTCCTGCCACTCCAGTGACAATCTTTCCTGGCGTAGCAAATGTACCAGAGAACGTCGAACTTCCTTGTCTCGACCTAGTCACGTAGTCTGGGCGGAATAGCAAGCGTAGACGAATAGAACCTGATTTGCCTTCCAATGCTAAGCTCATTTCTTTTGGCTTGAATGGTTCCAAGAGGTTTAGGTTAATTTCGGCCTTGCCAAGGAAGTCGGCCTTATCACCGAAGTCCCAATCCATGACGTTACAAACGAAATGCGATGCTGTTCTTGAAGGTACATCGAGCTCGAAGAACTCATTCCAAGCTGGGTGTAAAGTCTTCTTCTGGACTTTGGTCTTGAACACCGAGTTCCCATTGAACTCAAACTTGCAGTATGGATCTGAGTATCCGTTGCGGTCTGCCGATGGAAGATCAGTAGCATCCAGAACATCTACTCGTAGTTTTCCCATGTTGTTGATACTCTCGCTTGGATCTAGATTCATCTTGACTGGGATATACTTAAGTGAGACCTTGATATTACTAGTATGTCCGTCATCATCTCGAAGCTTGAGTCTATGGAATGTGTTAGTACTTGTACAAAGTAGGGATCGTGAGAGAAAGATCACTCTCGGAAATCGATGTTGTTTTGCACTTACATGGTAGGATTGTTGAGGCATTGTTTTAGGGTAGCTAGTGTCTCCCCACTTAGGCGGGCAATAGTGGAGTCTTTCTTGTCATCCCCCTTACTCTGCTTCTCTCGAATACGTATGGTAATCTTGGAGAAATCTAGTTCACGAACAAAGCAATCGCCTATCTCATCCAAAGTCATTCTCTTCGATTTGATTGTGGAGGACGAGTATGACGGGAATGCCATATCATCAACGACAACTTCGACGTGGACATTGCTTCGGGTCAAGTCGCAGTCAATTATCTTGAAAATAATAAGACCGGATTCATACTTGAGTAATTCTTCGGGCGTAAGATGAATCTTAGGAAGTTGCTTTTCTTTTGTGGTCTCTTCTTGCTCTTGTTCACCTTCCGCAAGCTTTGCAGCCATCGCAGATTCGCTCGAAGACCGTGTAGGCTTTTCTGATTCGTCCCCATTTGCCACAGCATCCTTGACGCCATTTTCCATACCAGTTATGCGACCTCTCTCTGAAGACTTTTTGCGGGCGGCCTCTTCTTTAGCTTCTTCCTCGTCTTCGGGATCTGCGACGTTCAAACATGGATAGAATGCTACAGTATAGTTGAGTGTTCCTCTGGGGGAGCCCTTTCCATGCATGCGCAATCCACCTGCTTGTAGTACTTTGTCATCATGTACAATGAATTCCCCGTTCTCAAGTTGTTGAATGTAGTCGGCAGCCAGGACTTCGATCGATCCCAAAGTACGATCACTGTTGATAGTCTCTTGATCCATAACTTCCAAAGTTAACTTCTCCCGGACACTGTGGACGGGGACGTATACAACTTCGTCGAAATCTGGATTGAGGTTATTTTGGAATGTGACTGTTCGGGCCTTTTCTATGCCAGACAAGAGGACTCTGACGTAAGGATCAGATTTACCCAAAGTTTCAAGATTTCGAAGATCTCGCGCATTCTTGAAATGGAATCTCATGACACCAATAGGGGTAACATAACCGCCAGTGCCTCCGCCTACACCTTGCAATGCGATTGGTTTCCACTGAAGCGTTAACTTCGCTCTGCCAGAATTGGCTCCAGCGAGCGTATACCACTCTTGACCCTTTTCCATCAAGTTCAGCATGTCATTGAGTTTGATCTGATATGTGCCAAGGATGGGATCGGTGCCGAGTTCTCGATCATCCTTAATGACAAGACCAAAAGTTGCACTCTTTCTATCAGTGATGAGAATTTCCTTAGATCCGTTGTCCCAAATAGGATTGTTCGTTCTCTTTAATTTCCTTGTGACATGAATTTCCTTATTGTTTAGTAAAAGTACAGCATATGGGCTGAGCTGACCAATGAGACTCTTGGTACCATCGAGGTCTTTAGCTTGCTCGACACAGAAACGAGCAATACCGGTATTAGACTCAGGAGGAGGTTCAGCCGTGCCATCTGCGAGAGTACGTCCTTCGAGGACGGGGAAAAAGCGTAGATCTGCAGATAGTAGGCCACGTGCCTTGCCATTTGCCATAACTTCAAGCTGTTCGTTCTCATATTCTGTAACCTCTTGCACCCTTTCCAATGGGAAAGTGGCAGTACCAAGTTCTTTGTCTTTTCGGTATTCATTATAATCGAAAATAGCCATTGTGAGACTCTCGGTGAAAGAAGTAAGGATAACATATTTCGTCTCATTCCATTTAGGATTAGCGTTTTCCTTGATGATCTTGGTTTGGGCTAGAGCAGGACCATTGTTGATTGACAGGACAGTATATGGATCAGGGGTTCCAGCAAATTTGTCGGGATTCTTGAGCCCTTGAGCCCCGTGGAGAGTGACAGCCAATACACCGATAGCCTGATCAACAGCTGACCCAGACAGCATTTTCGCGACTTCGATTGGGAACACGTTGGGTGCATACATGATAGGTCCGATATTCGCATGGATCTGTTCGAGAATGAAACTTTCAAGTCCAGGAATGAAATTGATGTCAAATCCGAGAGTTTCACCTCCAAGAGGTTTACATACATAATCGATTGCTTTTGAAAAGTTAGTCTAAAATGTCTACTAAGGGTACGCGAGATATAGACGGTTGAAGTCTGAAGCTGCCCCCAAAAGGCTGAGACAGCTTTGTGTTCAAAAGAAATGTGAAAATCTCGAGGACGTTCCAGCTTGCGGATAACAATGTATTGAAACGCAAGCATTCATAGGACGAAAAAAAAAAAGATAAACAAAACTTACTAGGCTTCTCAAGGAATGAGATTTCAATCTTTTCCACATGAGGAAATGGAATCTGAAGCTTGATCTTAACACGCATGAGACCCGAGAAAGCCATATTCTCGACAATAACGTCTAGACCTTTACTGATCATTGCTTTTCCAATTCTGATTTCAAGAACAACTTTTGGGTTGACCTTGTTCTTGATTTGGCGGGAAGTCATATCCGCATGATCATTTGGAGTGAAGCTGAATTTCCAGTCCATGAGTACAATATCATCCTCTGCTTTGGGATACGTCTTCACGTGCTCCAGACGAGGTGGCTTTGTACCCAGAGTGAACGTCTTCATGCGAAGACTATCCAAAAAGGCTGGTGTTGCCGTACTTAACACTTGATCGACGGAGTTGATGACTGTCTCGGCAAGCACTGGCTGGAAAATTGGCCAAAACTTGACCATGAAGCTGTTCATCCATTCTAGACTTTCCGTATCTGTTTCAAGCTTGTTTTTGGCAAGCTCGCGATTGATATCGTCACGAAAGTTGCGTCGTACTCGACGTATCGAAGTCCTATAATATGTACCACAAATCGCCATGATAATGAAGACCCAGCTAAGCCCTCCACCAAGCGTGGCCACAAACCATGACGAAAGACATGCAAATATGATGACGGCAGTATTTTGATACCAATCTGACGTAAAATTAGCAAAATCCCTGAGCAGAAGGAAGCATCAATTTACCCCCATAAAATTTATCTTCAATCTTGCCCTCTATCCAAGTTTGATGGTCTAGAAGACTTTCTCCTTCTATAGATTCGCCAGAATCTCCAGAACCAAATCTGGGTGCCCAGCCAGCTCTTTCGATCCAGCGAGCATCCTCGTCATCATCGACATATCCGTTTGCTACAGGCTGTTCTGATTGTTTGGTTCCTTTGACAGGAGCTGCAAGAGCTCCGGCAGTAGAGGGTGGTGGTAGGTCGTAAGCTCCCGGTGAACCGTCGTCAATATCCGTAGCGATTGCGACGCCTTTCGATTTGTGCTCATGGTGAAATCCTTCTGGAATACGCTGCAAGAAATTTGACATTAGCAGATGACCAAGAACCCGAAAGACTATAACCTACAGCCCTAGCCTGTGCTGCCTTCTCCTCTGGACTCGCATCTGGGTCAAAGGAGAAAGCTGGCACGCCTGCCTTGTGACCCTCATTGACAATTTTTGCTTCAGCATCTGCTGCTGTCACTGAACTGTTAGGGTCTTGTGCTGCTTCTACTGCACCCTGTGCTTTGAGCTCTCCCTCCAATCCCCTTGTTGTCGACATATTTGCTGTGGTTATGCTGTCCCGAACCAATCAAGAAAGTCGAACTGCAAAGGTCACTTATAAAAGTGCCGACTTCAGCCAGACAACGACGGGATATGTCGTCGAAAAGAGTAGTCAGCAACTGAATAGAAGATAAACTTTCTGATTGCGAAATACTCAAATATTGATTTCGGGCTGGTTTCGCAGGCAGAGGAAGTGAATGCAGCTATAGAAAAGGGCTGTGGTAATAGCGGGAGGCTAGAAGCTTATAGCTTCGGGAGAGGTAAGATAGGGAACGAATTAAATTAAATTGGCCAATCCGAACCACCTAAAGAATTGGGTAATTGGTGTTTAGGGTGAAAGTAAGATCATGGATATCTTATCCAGAGCTTCAAATTGAGACCCTTTTTTCCTCAAAGGTTGGGAAGAAGTGAAGGGAAGGGGGGGTGTTGTTTATCTGTGAGAATGATTGAGAAAGAAGTGTAAAAGGGATTTGTAGATGATCTTCCTTAACGCAGACGATTGGCGATGACGACAGACAAAGACCCAAAGGGTTTTAAAATGAGTAGGAAGTACTGGGGATTCACAATCGATTTAATCAAACCAAGCCTTGATTTTACATTGATTTTTTATGGTTTGTTGACAGCTGTATGAACCTAGATAAGTGATTGAGGGAGGAGAGAGGGGGTTTCCTTGTTATTGATGTACATTACAATTCTTGAGTTGTTTTCAGACATGTTTCCTTTTTTTTTATTAAATACCTAACAAATACCTAACACAATATAAGAATAAGAATAATAAATGCTCCTCTTCACTGGGTATCCGTAATATCATATTCATACACTCTACAGAGCACACCGTACATCAAATCATACCCTACCATTTTGCTAATCCTCGTGTACATCATTGCACTCACAAGCAGCAAGCAGCAAGCATAACCACATCGCTTGCTGTAAAGTGGCCTCTTCTAAATTCTGAGCAAGTTCTGCGTCTGTTAGTCTTCTTCCTCTTACTACTCTGCTGTAGAGTCCAAAGTACCCGACTTATTATCATGTACCACGGTCCTTGTAGCCCTAGAGATTTTCAGCAGTACAAGGAATATGTAAATGTGGAGGGCAAGGGAGGGTTCTTCCAGGTTTCTTCTATCATCCCCATTCGAAATGCGAATGTTCAACCCACCTAGTGCACCTTAGAGAGGAGTAAATCTTTGCATTGCGGGATTTCAAGCATAAATCAGCTGAATTGGAGTTGATACAATACTTATCATCATTAAATCTTTGATTAAATGTGTAATGGTTATTAGAAATATCCCCTCCTCAAACGAACTCCCTCGGTGTCCCCGTTACACTTTGGCTTGCTTGGATAATCTCCGCATGTATTGCAAACTAAATACAGTAAGGGACAAGATGGCTGGTGCCGTGGGAGAGCTGATTGAGCTGCAGATATTCGATATGCGAGATAGTGAGGAAACTTGTTAAATCGAGCTTGTGAACCAGTGACTGAGAGTGTTTGGTGTTGCCAAATTATTGGGATAATGTGTGTCTGGAGAAGCGTGGCATTAACTGGAGAGTAAGCTGGCGGGGTTAGATAGATATTCATGTGCGAGTATGTACCTAGCATGTAGTGTCGGTAGGTAGGTTATGGAGATTGTGTGTGTTGGATGAATACTTGGATGAATACTAGGTACCTGTAAAGGTGTGATTTGTTGTCGTTGTCGTTGTCGTTCTCTTTGTCGTTGTCGGTGTCGTTGCTGTTTTGGTTAGGGAACTGAAACCTATGTGCTCGTACTGTGGAAAGAACACGCTGTGTTATATTATATTACACTCATTACACTCATTACAGTACCAGACCTGTCCCTGGATGGAAAAGGTTCTATGAATCAATTGTATCAGGTACAGTGTTGGTGAGGGCCATAATGGTAGGCGGAGACGATGAATCCCCATATCAATGAATTATTAATAAGTCAAAGATCCTCATCATACGATGGGTGTAGTTGGGTACTCCGTACACACTCGTACCCACCTGATGATCGTGTAAAGCTAAGGTTTCAGCGGATTGATAACTTCACATAGGTACACAATCCGTCCAATACAGAGCAATATCGCATAGTTTATCGCATAGTCTGATAGTCTGATATTCTGCAGGTGCAGGATGCTTGTATCCAATCCCTTCATTCGATCAATCCTCACCAATACTTACCAACCTACCCAGGTGTCATCAGTTATCAATGGATGACCGTTGAATGGTTTCCTTCACCTGTACAGGCGGTGCCAGCGAGAAACCGAGCTTCACTGATAGCATCTTATCTTGAATACGAACTACGTACGATCAACACCAATTGAATACTTGGCACAGCCGGGGTGAGAAAGCATCCAGATTGTCCAGAGAGTAAGAAGTAAGAAGTGAAAGTTGGTAAGGATTCAATTGAGCTTCGCCCATACCACACTGGCATATAAAATCATGGTGAATATCAATTGAACCATTCATTTCGCACTGAGGAGTATTCAATTGTTCAATTGAGCTTCGCCCATAACCTTAAACACGCAGTGATCCAAACCAACATGCCTATCTACCCAAGTGTGTACTAGGTACATATATCTCTTGTGCCGGTAAGGTTAGCATGTACTATGTAGGACCCTTAAATCTTTTCCATTGTTAATTGTCTCCACCCCCATGGCCATTGAGGCTCACTCTTTCATTTCTTTGGAAACTTGATACGAGTCGCATGCCATTACACTTTTATTCAAGCATCGATTAAATGAAAGTAACTGCCCTGAAACACTTTCCGAGTAAGGATCCACGACGCCCTTGCAGCTGCAGTCATATTATTTAGGCTTTCGAATTGGCTTTTGAACGGGAATTGGCATTGGCATTGGATTTGGATTTGGAAGTACATGTTGGGCCTTAGCTGTGCCTCATTTCGCGGCAATTTGGATCGTAGGAATACCCTATCTTCCTTAATTATACTGACCAGATAAACAACCCTGAAGTCTTGGACGCGCAAGTGAATACTCTCTTTCAATTTCATTGCAATCACAATTGCAATATATTTTTCATTTTCAATTCACAATTGATCAACTTATTAATGTTCATTGATCCATTCCTCTAAAAATCAAATTTGGTGCTTCATAGTTCCTTGTCGTGTGCTTGATTTCAAGTTCCAACAGTTCAGTAGATCATTGTCAATGGGAAGATGGACGCAACCGATAGCAGAAAAGACATTGAGCACAAGCAACTCAAAGGTCGATTGATGGGAAAATTATTTGGAAAGGAAAAGAAACCATCCTCAGCAGAAGAGGTATCCGATTTTCTTCATGGTCCTACTGATAAATTGTACACTGCATCGTCCACCGCAGCTTCGAATACCCCTCCGAGACCTCCTGTTCTTGGTCGAATTGATACATCTACTGCAAAACGATGGCCCACGGCGGCTGAAGTAAATAATGCTAGGCGCAATCGATCTGCGAGCCCAAAACGGAGTAGGAAAGGATTGGTCGTGAGGTTTACAGAGGCCCAACCGGAAGTCATAGGTGAAGGAGGCGACGAATGTGCCTCACCAACAGCAGAAATCGCAGAAGCTCTGCGAAGTAGAGCTGCAACAATTCCGCAGCAAAAACAAACCCGACGACCTGGTCCTCCCCCATCATATGGCTCATCACAGGGACCTGCCGACAAATTTGGGGACCCCGACATGTTTAGACCCGGTCCTTTACGACGTACGCAAACAGGGTTTTCAACGCTCGCAGACAATGACTCTGCATCCGATAGTGAGCCTCCCCAGCCCAATAGAAACCAAAGAAATGAGGAAAGTTACAATAGTACCGCAAGGACCGGATCGCGTAGCTCGTTCAATGGCAAGGCGGAAGCAGCAATGCGTGCATCAGAGGGCAAAGCATTGGTAAGGGCGGTGTCGGGACATTTTGATGAACGAGATCTCGCGCTGGCAGCTTTGACAGCAAATGAGAAGTCTCCCCCACAAGAAGCTGCTCATCTAAATACCACGAAGAATACGCAATTAAGCTCTTCGCCAGGATTGAGTCAGTTTGGGAGGCCCGAGACGCCTAGTGATAGTGGGAGGTCAAATCCTCCTGTCGCTGACGAGAGTCCTTCATCTTTTTCAAGGACTTCCACAACAAACTCCGCTAGTGCGGTCGAGAGTCCCCCTCCAACTACACGGGCCCCAACATTTAATCTGAAAGATGCTGCATTGGCTGTAGGGGATGATGCTCTAAATGAATTTTCCAGACGCACGTCGCATATGTTCACGTTATTCAGACTTTCAGCCGAGTCGCTAAAACCACTCTCGTCATGTTCATTAGAAGAGCTTGTCAGAGGTGCGTTGTGGTGGTTTCTCAAAGGCCGATCCGAGCTGGAAAGTAGCATCAGAGACCGATCTACAACCCCAGAAGCAAGACAGAACAATGCAATTGGTCGTCAACAGGCTTACTCAAATTTAGCCAAGGCATATTGGCTAATGGAAAAGATTGCTCCCCAATGCCCCGAAATGAACAACCAAATGAATGATCACATTATTAACGACGCCTTGGAATCACGACAAGCAATTATATCTGGCTTGAAAAAATTGACAATGGTAAGCATTAACAAATGTTGGTAGACTAATTTTACTAATTAAATAATGCAGTCTATGAAACGTAACAACATTCTCCCGCCGTTTGGCGAAGACGCGCCATTGCTCCAAGGTAATGATAATCAGATATGGACGAGAGATGAAGGCGACCGATCATTGCTAGCACTACAGCGGCCCAATACAACCCTGACCCTACCTGGAGCTCTTCCATTAGGTGACTCGGGCACAAGTTTCACCTACGGACGTCACTTTGTAGATGTCTACCTTCTAGAAGAAGCAGCCTCGTCACATTATCGTTGCCCTTGTCTTTTATCTATCGTTCGAGGAAATCATGAAGACGATTTAAGCTTCGTAATAACCAATCAAACCGGAACTTTAAAGCTTGTGATTCAGCACGACAAAACTCGTGGGCCCACGTGGAATGATGTGTCCTGGATACAGAAGAACAGCTCGCTTAATATCAAACTTCCGCGAGGCTTTGAGCTTCGCATCAATTGTACCCCACAGGATTTTAGGAGTCTCAGAGGTTCCTATGATTTTCAAAACAGTGTCCGACAAAGTCTTGCTCGACAGGATGATGAAGATCTTGTCTTTCAAATGACCATTAAGGCTTTCCAACACTTTGGCCAAGAAAAGCAAGCACAGGGGTTCCCAGGAGAAGCCGTGCCAAAGTGCGAGGTAAGGTTGTTCGAAAAGAGTATCGTCGAGAAAGCAGCCACGGGTCCCAGAAAGAAGCACAGAGGATTTCGACTTGCTGTTATGACGGGAAAGATGACCAAAAATTTAAGAGGTATCGATCAAGATATCTTACCTATGACACCCATCCAGTTCAGTCTTCTAAGGGGTGACAACGGCTATCCAGCACTTTTGTTAAAGATTGATGATGGAAACCCAAGATCCACAATGGTCTTCACATTCGAGGAGGCAGATCAAAGAGCTAGATTGCACGCTCTACTGACGGGTGGAGTGATCGGACGGGAAGAGACTGTCTATGGTGAAACTCCCATTCGATCATTTGTTATTGAGGAACCTGGGGGGCTGGCGCCACGTCTCGGAGGTTTGGAATGGCAAAGTGCTCGAGTAATCAATGAAGATGCCTTTGATATTCAGAACGCCAAGACTGTTCTTTCAGAACATTTACGAGTCATCATGGATTTCAAAACAGGTTCAATCACGGATCGATTTAATATTGGACCTGGGGAGTTGAAGCTACGACTTGATCTGCATTCGACAAATGAATTGAAGATTTTGAGGCAACCTCAGCACGACATGACCATAATGGCAACGCAAGCACAAGCATCAAATCAGTCCACAAAAGAATTCGCTGAAGTTCTTGCAACAATTGCGAGAGCCGAGACAACCCGAACTTACGTGTTTCCTAGCTTGAGAGAACTTCATCTTTTCCAAACAGCACTGACAGGGTTTGTTGTTGTTTTTGATGGCAGGGCAGCGTCCTTCAATATTTCGAGGCGAAGAATGGTGGTTCCCATCTACAAAAAGTGGGATGCTGCCATAACTAGATTGCAATTGGTCCAAAAAGAAAAAGTTGTGCAACTGCTTGCCTTCTTTGAGAATTTCAGCCACGGAGATTGCATGGGTTTCACTTTGAAATCTACTGATACATTCGAGAGCTCAAACAAGAGTGGAAAGTTCTCTCTGCGCATCGTTGACGCCAAATTTGCAATGCCAAAGCCTCGTGTCGAGGGACACACAGCATTGGATAGTGGGTTTGTCAATCTAGATGTAGGTATCCATTTCAAAAAAGGACCATTATTGTACCACTACAAGTATCAAATTGGCTAACAATATACAGATGCCTGACTATCCCGGCGAGCATGATGATATCACAGTAATATTTGATACGGAAGCGGGTAAGTGCGATATTTTGTATTTTCCCATTGACCCTATCACAGGCCCAGCGTGTGTATCTTGAGTTCCAGCTTCCTTGTTAAACTACATTTTACCCAGTCCAAGGAAACGGGAACAAGAGCACACATTGCTGTTCACTCATCAAATTTTCCTTCGCTAATCCTTTGGTTCAGAACGCGATACATTTAGTAAATCCTTACCGGCACCTGTAAAAGTAGCTTCACGGATGGGATCGGTAAGAAGATGAGAGCAAGCTTTTTGGACATGAGATAATTTTTGCAATAAAGAGTAAATGACATATGGTTGCGAGGCGCACGGCGCATAAACTGGAATTTGAATATTAGCGGATAGCATTACGGGAAGATATCCATCATTGTACTGGAGTTCTTTATTTTCTTGGCTGGCGGCAGCATCATTGCCACGAAGTCGATGTTTAATGTGAAGAGCATCGATCTTCTTCTTGGGAGCTTCTAAATTTCAAGTTATCTAGTGCAGTATGACCTGGAGTTAGTTCAAGTCTAGGAACCATAGAAAGGTAGTTTTTCTAACCATTTTCATAAGCGAACGGCCATGCATTGCCTCCACTATTTTACTGTTGTCCCCCTTCATTAGTGTCAGGGCTTGATATGTATGCCTGGTGTACTAAGAGCTAACTCTTGGACTTACAATATGCGGGTGCGATCTCAATATCCCACCAATTACTTGTTTCAAGGAAGTACGAATACGATTAATTGTATGGTATTTACTTTGATGTGTAGACTGACCGACTATGTAACAATTGCCCTCCCAACAACGTCGACATGTGGCAGTATTAATGAAATGGATGAACGAGTGGGTGAGTTAATGAATAAATAAAGTAAAATTTGAGTCTTTTGATATGTTTCCAGGAGGGGGTCAATTCATTGATGGGATCCACCCGAATTATGATCCTATACCCACCATTTAACTACGATGTATGCAAATATTTGATGCATCTTGGAAACAAAAGGTCCGTATTCAAACCCCCCCTTGTGATACCGGGGTGGATGAGCTATTTATAGAGCGTGTCCCTCATATAGTCCAATCAAATGAGCGTGGTTCGAAAGATCGACCATTTAGATGAAGAGACAGATCACAGCCACACCACCCATGAAAACTTTAAAAAGGATGTATAATATGTTATTACCTAGTAGGTACCTACGCTGCACCTTATGGTAAATCAATGGTACGCATTAGCTGTAAGGCTACCGCATCTAGTAACTCAACAGTCGAAGATAAACCGCATGTTGTGATAATGAAGTTAGGCAAATGCAGCATAATCATAACATAACCTCTTACTACTACCACTCGACTATTCGGATACTTCCTTGACTACTAGACACTCATCAAGTTACTTAGGTCATACTCCGTACAGTAAGTGCCTGGGTACCTACTTAGCTTTCAAGTAGTAGACATTTCGTACAGACATTGATTAAATAATCAGATAATGATTCATATTTTAATTTACAATACCTGATCATGTATTTGATTCGATCATTGGAAAAAAACCCCCTCCCCTGCCCCCCTTTGGAAAGAAGGAAAAGAGACTGCTCAGAAAGAAAATAAAACAAAATCAAATCAAATCAAATCAAAAAGCCGATATATCCAGGACATCTTATTAGCTCTCGTGGCTTGTGAATACCCGCAATTACGAGAGATCTCATCCACGTCTAAACTCCTCCATCCCCTCCAGCTTCTACACTATACACACCACCAAACTAAAACAATTCTCTATCGTTTTACTTTCACCAATGTTGTAGAGAATTTCTTACTCCTTGATCTATCTAATCACTTTTTGTTTATTCATCAAATCATTCAAACACTCAATTCTCAAGTACCTGCCTGGGTAGCGCTTGCCGACAGACTATACAGTAAGAGGCGTTTCAGAAGGAACTAGGCATCATCATATAGCGAATTGGGATTTTCTGGTCAAGAAATAATTCGGACAAATTGTTTACCAATAGGCACTCTCACTCATTTGTGACGGCGACCACATCATCATGGCTTTTTAGACTAGTAAAGCAAATCACCACCTCGTATGCTTAAGGCAGGCTCCATTATAACTCGTCGCGTCGCTGGGTACGGTCACTCGTACTACCAATGCCAGGAAATTCGAGATACGAAGCTCAGGTCATTCCGGATTCCTATGCTGACCATGATCGAACGAGTCGTCCGAATACCACATCGATAATGTCTGCGGACTGCTGGGAGCAGGAAATGGTGAGGGAGGGGGGATTTAAAGGCGAACAACATTCGAATCGATCGTATTTAGTCCCCCGAGCTTCTGTCCCAGAGCAAACGCATGCATACCGTCCTTGGTCTAGAGCTCCTACGAAAACCTCTTCAGGTGTCTGGATAATTCTAGTTACATTGATCTCAGCTTTCTGGATTACTCCTACTTCCGCCGTGTTCATAGAGTTTCAGAACTGTTTGGAAGAGAGCTACCAGGGTAATACGCCTTATCAGTTACAATTTGTTCCGTATTTCCTATGGGCAGTGTTCAATACCACCGAATCGACTCATAATCTTGCGGTTCAAGTATGGGGTGATGTTAAGGGATCAGGTCCAGGGGCATCAACAACTGATAAATTACCCGGATCCAACGACACAGCGTACTGGCAAAGCAACTCAACCGATACCTATAATGGCAAGATCGCAGACGAGCCCGATCCAACATCTCTAAAGCTCACAACGCTTTTCAATAAAGTCACTGTGCTAACCTATCAGCCTTACAGTGCCGCTGTAGATTTCTGTAACCAGCTTGTCAACGGCACCTGTCCTCTTGGCCCTACCTTCAATGCATCAATGTAAGCTATGGTCCCAGATGCTGTATAATGCTCTAGCTAATCTGTGCAAGATGGGATCCATACACTCTTCCTTCTTTTGGGTTCAACAACAACTTCTACTCTTCGTATGCTTTCACTTCGTTCTCTGCAACGATGGTAATCAAGAATGGCGACACTGCTGCGACTACTATTGGTTGCATATCAGCTGATATTACGCCTGACATTGGGGACAGTTTATCTGCCACTGTGAAGTATGTACCCTTAATAGTGCTTCTCTGTGTCGCATTTGCAACTGCTTTTGCGGGCATATATAGTCCTTGGGGCACCAATGACATCTTTCGCTGGACAACAAACTATGGTCGAGATGCAGACCTGCTCCGTTTGGTCACACCTGGATTCGGCGATTGCTTACAATACATCCAATTTGTTGCTCTTACTGGAGGCTTAACACTTGACTATCCTGGCTTTTATCAACCAATCGTTAGTAAAGTTGCATGGTCATCATTGATGTTCAATGAAAGCTTCGTAAGCAACACTTATCAAGACAGTCTGGTCGACGGCATATACGTAGTGAATGGAACTTATGGTCTTGATCGCATGCGACAACTGATTGGAATGGGAGAATCTGATGATGTCTGGGCTGGCATGGCTGTTTGGCTTTTGGCTATTATTGGAGTCGTCCTTGTACTAATCCAGCTGGGTTTCGCTACGCGTTGGGCGTGGAGGCTGCTAATGGGCACTCAAGAAGAGGATTTGAGGAAGAAACACGTGCCATTTTCCGTTGGAAACGTGATTCGTATTGTTTTTAATTATTTCTTGCTTCCTATTGTTGCCCTTTCCATGTTTCAGTTAGTTGAGGCTTCTAGGTCACCAGCCTATACGACCGGTCTGGCGTTACTTATGCTGATCTTAATTGTCGTTTTTGCCATCTACCTGTTGTACCTTATCGCAACAGCAAGACCGAAGTCCTACCTATTCGATGATCTTCCAACGGTGCTTACCTACGGAGCGTTGTACAACACATATTCAGACAATGCAGCCCCTTTCGCCCTCGTACCGGTACTCCTGACCTTTCTCCGCGGTATCTCAATTGGAGCTGTTCAACCATCAGGCATTGCGCAGCTGGTTCTTCTTGCGATTTGCGAAGTCATCACAATATTAACCTTACATGCGTTTCGACCTTTTCATTCGCCGACATCAATGAATGCCTACCACACTTTCTTCGCTGCGGTGCGCTTCTCAACCATTTTGTTAATGATCGCATTTGCTCCTTCACTTGGTATTACTGAAGGGCCAAAGGGCTGGGTTGGCTATGCGATTCTCCTAATGCACGCCATTGTCCTCATTCTTGGCTTCATGTTGAATGCAATGCAGACGATTGTTGAAGTTGCTGCCAGGCTTGCGGGTGCCGGAGGCAATGAAAGTGGCGCAGCTAGAGGTGGTCTTTCTAAGGTATTCGGTATGCGACAATTGTCTAGAAGGTTGCCCCGTCGGGATGCCACATCACGTCAAAGTCAGTTATCAAGCGCCGCTATGCTTTCCGACCAAGACAGAAAATCATATCTCGTCGAGGGAGGCAGGCTTCGGAGTCAGTCTGCGGGTAGCGCTGGGATTCTGCTCAATAGACAAAGTGCGAACCTCGATAATATGACTGTAGATGCTTTCGGTGCAATGCCTACACATCACGTTGGCAGCGGTGCACCGAGCTCTTATACCCCAACAACACCAGGAGAGGCAAGCACATTCTCATTCCTGCCATCTGCTGCCGCGCCAAGCGGCCGGGGACGTAATAAAGGTGCCATATTAGGCTTGGATACAACCGACACAGCCGATCCTTACTATCGTCCTCCTAGATTCCGCCGGCCGACTGCAGATGCTTATTCCCCAGGGGCAAGAAGTCGAGGGTCGTGGGCTAGTGGTGATTGGACTAATAGGCACGAATCACCACCTGCCGATCCTGATGCCATTGAGCATTTGGAAGGTCCTTCAATTTCTGGCCGTAATAGTCCATCTCAGCAACAAGCTTTGGATGGAGCTCCTTTGGAGCTTAACCGATCGAAGGCTGACTATACTACAAGAGAGGTCGACTTCTACTACGGCGTTCGTGGACCTGCTTTGAACGCTGAAGCACCTAGTCGGAGAATCAAAACTGGTCCTGCAGATCCTACAGGAATTCCTGCCTCCGCTGCAGGCTGGTTCAAGAGTTTCTTCAAAGGCAAGACGAAGGAGAAAGGCAAAGGATTTGAGGTCGTGAGAAGCTCTAGGATGCCACCAGGAGGGTTGAGCAACGCAAGGAATGCACCAGGCGATGAATCACCACCGGAAGGAATTCCAGTAGCCACAGGAGCAATTCGACATGGTCCAATTGATTCCGATTCTGATGATGGGCATGATGCCATCGGTCTATCAGGACGAGCTGGCCTGTCGCGTGTGGATGGCGCAGATGCTGATGATGGTGAATTAGTCAGTCCTATAGGATCGGATGATGGGCAGAGCTACCATGATGACGAGGATGAGTTTGAAATGACCAGGATTTCTGATATTCCCCCTTCGCTTCAAGGACTAAAAATCCCTGAAGGTGGCATGGAATTGCCTAGTAGGTTTCCTTCAAAAGCTAGCTCAAGAGTACCTCATGGTTCACGAGCCGGCGACCCAATACCAAATATGCCTTTAAGTCCTCCAGCTCGAACACCTACAGTTCCGCGAAAGAGTTCTCGTCGAAAATCACAGAATACAAGTGTGGACTTGACCATTCCAGGCATTAGTCGTCACACACCTCAAAATTCACTTACTTCACGACTCCCTTTTGAAAGGTCGAATTCCAACAAGCGACATTCCGACATCTCTGCTAGATCCAGCATAGCACCGCATGAGGGATATGGACATTCTCGAAATACTTCATTCGGTAATTTTACCGAGGGATATGGGCATGATCGGCCGACGAGCGTAGGATATGTTTCACAGCATCACATCCACACCATCAACCCACCGGAGAACAATCCGCAATATCTCGGTAGCTCTGCTGAACTGGTGGATGGACGGATTAGTGCAAGCTCGTCTATTGACAATCCTCGATGATTGGAAGCTTTTCGTACACGTTTCACTGTTTTCACTTTACTAATATGCATTTGATCGTCACATGAACGAATTTCCTTGGTCGAAAAAGTCTCTTGGTGTTATGCAGCCCTACATGTATTGTAAAAAGGACCGGAGTAATATGGCGATAGGTGGATAGCGATGAACTTTTCATGTTTGGGTGGAGGGAATAGCTGATTGATTGGAATGAAATGGAGGAGGGGAAAGAAGGGCCCCTTGGACAATGAGAAAGGCATATAATATACGTATCCTGTCTACATAATATCCGACATTCACGATCCTTGTAATAATAAGCATAGTAGGAAGATGATGGTTGATTTCTTACAATGGGAGAGGCTACTTTGAGGGACAAGGAAGGAAAAGGGGGAGAAGAAGGGGAATGGATGGCTATCTAGGTATTGGATTGGATCCAAATTCGATCGTGAATGTGGGAAACCATAGAATATGGACAGGAATATGGGTTATGGGTTATGGATAAATTAATACAAATTTTTTGACTTTATAGTACCTAGTATGCTTTGAATGAATGAATGGGGTTTGAAGTTTGGGAGAGTTGAGGGATGCCTAGGTAGGTTGATATCCAGGTAGATGTGGATGTGCAGATTGAATTGTTTATTGAGATTTACATATCTAGGTACCCTAGTAGATATTAGGTATATGTCTCTTTGTTGATCGGGATTGGGATAATTGCATGTCTTTTTGTTTTTTGTTTTGCTAGTGGATACCTAGTATTGTAAGTGAGTTACCTAGTTAAGCGTGTGGTGTTAAGTCACTTAATTGGTCTACTCGTATTCCCACATGTCCCACGCGTATCTACCTACCTCATAAGTATTTTCAATACGCGTATAGATGGATCAAGGGGATGAGTTGAGATGAGATGAGATGAGATGAGATGCGATGGAACTTGGCGTGTTTGGGAACTGAAAATCGTCGTCATTGGCTGACCCTGCAGCTAGTGATTGTTGAGTGAGGTGAGCGAGCGAGGGATGAAGAGAAGCAGGGGAGGGGAGGGAGAGAGACACAAGGCGTTTCTTTTTTTGAATGATGGAATGGAATGTTGAGTTGGTTCTTAGGTAGCTGGGTAGTTGGCTTCTGTGCGGCTGTATGTATCTGGATGATGCTTGGGTAGGGAGGCGGTATGCATAAGTATGTATCTAGGTAGACGGGTGGGCAATGCAATGGGATAGAAATTATGTCTCGGTAGGTAGGGAGGAGGTATCTATATATTTAGTGTAACTTCTATGTAAACCCATATGTAAGTAGATAAAATTACATCGACGATTAACATCAACTTACTAATGGCACCGGTAAGTACGGAGTAGATAGAGGTATACATAAGGTTTGCGATACCACAAAGGGGGGAAGCTTTGTAACAGTCGGAATCTGGAAATTCTTGATAATTCCGATGACGAAAGATCTTTTCTAAATGCGTAGCAAAAGTAACTTTTGGCTGTGTCTCTCAACTTCCGCCACACGGCTCACTTCCTGATAGGTAGGTAGGTAGGTAGGTAGGTAGGTATATACAGATGTAAATTGATTAATGACTCTCACAGATAGAAAGGCATGAGTAGGTACATAGATGTATGTAGATATAAACAACCATCTTTTCTTACATACATTCTTACATAAACATATCATATCAGGCAAATATTCGCCTCAATTCACAAGAATTTCCATCTACCTGCCCTGCTCGTCGACTTATTTATTACCTGTCACGTCTAACTTACCGCATCACATCATCCACCATTGTCAGTGATACACTAAATTTAAATTTTACCCATATTTAAGCCCTGTGACGTTGCATGGTTCCTCGGATCTCCCCTCTATTCAGCACGTTTTGGTACTTCCTGCCGTTAACGAACACTTTTTAATGGTCCACCTGAGGTTTTTCCTCACACTTTTTGACCAAACCATTTCCAACAACGACGTACCTTGAAATCCTTGAATTTTGTTCACACATTCTCCCAACCCAGCTTCCCATTACATCCACCTTCTTTGGAAAGTGGTGGATACGCAGATCTTCTCTTAATTTCCACAGCATCTAGAAAGAACGAACGCTCTATTTACATTTTATTAAATCGCAAGCATGGTTAGCTTGGGTCATGTTCATCGGAGGCAGTCTGGTGCAAGTATGTTTCTTCTCGGGCTGGAATGTGCCGTATTGATATGCTGCGACTACGGAGCGAAATAGGCCATTTGGAATAGCATCGCTAATAACAATATGGCAATTCTAGGCAACCGGTCTTCCGTCGACGAATCGAAGGTTTCTGATGCCGAGGATGAGACTACTGTTGTCGAGCCAGATCAGGGAAATGGTAGGAGTCCATGAGATTTGACACGGGAGAAATGGTGCAGAGGCTGACATGGTGGAATGGAATACAGTTCTCTCTCACATCATCTCACAGCTTCGTCCCGGGGCTGATTTGAGCCGCGTCGTCTTGCCTACCTTTATTCTCGAGCCCAGAAGTATGCTGGAAAGAATCACAAAGTGCGTAGTTGTAGGATCTTCGGAAGGGACGCGGATTTGAAGAGCAGGCATGCTGATGGTGAATAGCTTCATGGCACATCCGGAAACTCTGCTTCCCATGGCGGAGGTAGACGACCCCTTGCAGCGATTTACTTCGGTTGTGAAGTTCTACCTGAGTGGATGGCACATCAAACCTCCGTAAGGCAGACTCTACACATATGAGAGGAGCGGTTGTGCTAATGAGATACTGCAGAGGCGTTAAGAAACCACTCAATCCTATCCTCGGCGAAATTTATACTTGTTATTGGCAGTTTCCAGATAATACAAAGGGATACTATATTTCCGAGCAAACCTCTCATCATCCTCCTAAATCAAGCTACTTTTATATGGCGCCAGAACACAACATACGAATCGATGGGTGTTTGAAACCTAGAAGCAAATTTTTGGGCAATTCTGCGGCTAGTATGATGGAGGGTATTGCTATTTTGAGATTTTTGAACAGAGGGTCTGGACCTAAAGGGGAAAGATAGTAGGTTACATGCTGCAGAACTTCGCATACTGGAAAACATCAGATACTAACTCGCTATTAGCGTTCTGACTCAACCAAACATGTACGCTCGAGGTATTCTTTTCGGTAAGATGAAGTATGAGCTCGGTGATCATAGTTTTGTGCGCTGCCCGGAGCTCGGATTGACCGCAGATATTGAGTTCAAGACGAAGGGCTACTTTGGAGGAACTTACAATGCTATTGGGGGTAGTATCAAGAATGACAAGACAGGGGAAATTCTCTATGAGCTTTCGGGCATGTGGAATGGAGAAATGTTTATCAAGAACGTTAAGGTATGAGTCTCTAAATCCTGGACGAATCGTAAAAGCTACTGATCATGATTTTAGACGGGTAAGAAAGATCTTTTGTTTGATGCTACGAGAGCGAGACCATCACCCCCATTAGTGAGACCTTTAGAAGAACAAGATGATAGAGAATCGCAAAAGTTATGGTTCAAGACGGCGAAAGCGGTCAAAGAACGCAACCACGAAGTTGCGACAGATGAGAAGACATTTATCGAGGATATGCAGAGAGATGAGGCTGCAAAGAGAGCAGAAGATGGTGTTGAATGGACTCCAAGGTTGTTCAGACCAGTACGAGGTGGCCCCGGCGGGTCCGAAGAGGGCGAAGAAGATCTAGATTGGATCTTGAATGCAAGCATGTAAGTTGGGACAGGCCTATTTGTCAAATGTTTTACTTGTTTTACTAACAGGGAAAACAGTGATGGCGCTAGTCCACAAGAACAGACGGAACAAATCCTCGCGGTTTATCCAGTCCTTCCAGGTCAGAAATTCACGGAAAAGAACCGTATTCCTCCACAGCATCACCAACATACAGAACAGGCCAATCCATTACCACCCACGATCCCAGTGGCAGCAGCCCCAGCTTCAATTCCCTCTCAGGAGAAGGACAAGGAGAATCTCATTGATTTGGGAAGAGAATCACCAGCGCCAGTCCAATCCCAGCATGTACCAGCTGATCTCCTTGCAGCTCAGACACAAAATAATGGGCAGCAACAAAAGGATCTTGAGCGAATCCTCCAGTCCACTAGTACGGTCCAAGGTCAGAACCAGGGTCCATTGATCGACTTCCATGATGATCTAAGGAAAGACTTACCAGCAGCTACTGACACCCAGGGAACGGCCACCTCCACTTTGTATCGAAAGGACACAGATAGTCAAAGTGTAGACGAGTTTGTAGACGCTGAGGGATGATTCGAGAAAGGAAGGTGCGGTGGCATGTCGGAATGAGCTGACCTTGGCCAATGCATAAGATCACATGTGATGCTTGGTGCCACCCGAGCTGAGAATTTCAATCCGCTTTACTATCAAGATTTCCTTTTTGTTCTATGGTTGAAAAGGTCAGGGCAAGGATTCACACGCAATTTTTGGAAGCTCGGATATACTACTAGATTGGACGGGCGGGGGTCAACCTGTACCTTTGTTATATATGTTGGGATTTTTGACAGTCTGCGATGAGATTGCTGGATTGGAGAATGGATTGGTGAAATAACCATGCAATGGAATGAACTGGCTGCATGGGCGGATGTTTAACTAATGAAATATACACAACTTCTATTCCACCTGTTTTTGACTTAAACTTCACGTGAATACATGCATGTGCTTTGGATTTATTTTTATTTGCGCTTTTATCAAATTTTTGATATGATTATTATACATGAGCAGCCTCATGCTGCTTTGCTGTGTTTTGCTTTGCGTTTTGCTTTAGTATTCCCCAATTTATTGAAATGAATAGATGACCATGAAACGCCTTGTATGAATACAAATTCATAAGATCCACAGTGTCTCGTACTAAAGACCCTACGCTCTGCATATCATGTCAAAATTTCTTTGGATGGTTCCACCGATTACTTTCTCCATAGTTAAGATTTGCGGCCAAGAATTGGTGTATATCCACTAGGAACTGAAAACATGATAGAGTGTGCGTCTCGTTTTGTCTGTAGAGCGTAGAAGTAAGAACGAGATAGTGGTAGGAGATTTCGAATATTCGTGCGTGTTTTGAGAAGTGTCCATCAGCATAGTAGTTTTCCTCCCAAGAAGTATTTCTCAACTGTCCTCGCCCCAGATCTCAATGCGCCCACCATCCTACACTCTCGCCCCAGATGATCGTTCCACGATATCCAGTTCATCTCCACCTCACGCATATCTCTTCCTCGTAGGCTCGGGACTAGGACTCCTCGTCACGCTTCTCTCATCTCTCCCCCTCATCCTCAACCACTTCTTCGTACTCAACTCTAACTCGCGATCTAGCTCATCGCTCGGGTTCTTGCGATGGATGAAATTGCAAAATCCGCCGCGCACGCATCCTTCGCCGCTGTTGAGTCGACAGCATGCTTCGCGGAAATCAGTGACAGGGGAGAGCTCGCAGTAGATTGGCCGAGCGGCATACCAGCGGGAATTCAGTGCGTCGCAGGCTTTTTGCGCGGAATCTTCGTATTTGAATCGCGCGTACACGTTTCCGATGAGATCTGTTGGGGATATGTTAGTTCTTGTTTATTGAAAGTTTTTCTTTGACATATGGGTGAAAAGGAAAGGGGAAAATGAAAATAGATGGAGAAGACATACGATCATTATTATTATCACACACGACGACCTCTTCAATCTCGCCAAACTTGCACATCTCGCACCAGAAATCCTCGTAGAAGGCATCGAAGTGGTTTTGCAACTGCGACGCGTTCATCTTGTTTTTCGGGTCGTAGGCAGGATTCTGGTAGAGGTTGGGGAGGAGGATGGTCTGCGAGTAGGAGGGCTTGACGTGCTTGCGGGAACAGCGATCACCGTGGCGACAGGCGCCGATTTTGTAGTAGAAGGAGCAATTGACCTTGTCGGCTTCAGTACCAAAGATGGAGGCGAGGTAGTTGGCCATTTTGAAGATGTGAAATTTGGTTCGGGCGGAGGATTATAGCTGTAGGTACGAATCAAGTTTGTGAAGGTTTGCTTATTGAATCAGGGTGTGGCAATTGATGGAGAGGGAAAATAACTCTCTTTAGCTTCGATAGTCGTCTCTTGCTGTATGAAAAGTTGCAGAATACACAATGGTGAGTGTGCGTCGATAGCAATTTGTCTGTATTCAAAATGAGGCGCGCTTGATAATGTTGAAAGTTCCTGATATCTCGGAACGGTCCGAGCTTCTTAGCGTTAGCGCGCTTTTTTGTAGCTTGGTGGCTGACTAATTGTAGATTCGCCTACCTTCTCGAATCGAGATGTGGATTTCAAATCAAACTTCACTTCACTCTAAACTTAACTCATTACACAAGATTAGCCCCATGGTCACATGTAGCGCTGTGAGTACAGATCATGAAATGCCTGTTGGATTATTTGGGAGTTTTACTTGGAGCTGATGGATGGTAATATGATTTCTTGTCTGGTATTATAGTAGTATATTCCTTGAATCTCTTCAAAGCTTGACATTCTCCATGCTGCCAGTCTAGTCGATTATATTACCTCTATTTTTTTTACAACAAGCAATAGTCACTGCACTTGAATCACAAAATGCATTGGATGGTCCCCTGATGACAATGATAAAAATGGCAGATATGTTTAAGCCTATGCTGGGCAGTCCCATCAAAGTACTATGGCATATCCTGCAGTAATCCCAATAACTATCCTCGAATGCTAAAATTGCAAATACTGTGTCAAAACTGTCAAACTGATCTCCTTTCTCATTCTCATCTCGTGTGCAATTACTCTTAGTGAGCACTCTTATTACATAGTTTTCCAAATGCCGCAGCAGCCTTCTCAAATACATTCGCCTTCTCGGGTGTGGCAATCACAGCTTTTTGCTCACCGTCCTTCTCGTACCGTTCAAAGCTATACAACTCATCGTGAAGTTGCAGCTCCGATAAGGCGATGTTGTTATTTTCTGTTTCTTCCTCGATGCGTTGGACAACCCTCAGCTCATTCGGTTGTAAGCGACCGATGCCCTGTTCAAAGCGGATCTTTACTGCGACTATATTTCCTGCCGACCCTCCTTCGCTCCAAGTGACCATTAGATCCCCTTTGCTCTCTGAGAATGCCCAGGGGTGAGCAAACATATGGGCTGTGTATGCAAACTTTTGTATATGGCCCATAGGGTATGCCTTCATCAGTTCGACGATTTCAAATGGGCCCCAAGGATTAATAGCTCTTCCGAACATTAACTTGCTATCTCCTGTACGAGTGCAACCAACGAAGCCAAATCTGTATGTTGAAGCCTCCCCGAACAATTTTGTGTCGAATATTTGACCATGTTGATAATTCTTGAGAACTGGCCAGGAGAAGAAGTGGTTTTTGACCCAGCCTCTTCCACCTCCCCAGTACTCCCAGCAAGCTCTTGCATTTGCCAGCTCCAGAGGTACACGACCTAGTACCACATCATAATCTCCATTGTGGTCGCCACCTTTGTGTCCGTAGGCATATAAATATTTCCCGTCGGAGAGAACAGAGAAAGTCCCAAGTCGAGGCTCACTGGGCTTTCGTTTTGTTAGGGATCTTTCGTACCGAAATAGAAATGATAGACTTACGTAGAACAAGATGCGCTCGCTCCAGCCAGCCATCTCACGCTTCGCCACAATAGTTGTTGGATTGGTCCGGTAATTAACCTCCACGGAAGCTATACCGACTGCTATAAGAAAGGTTGATCCATCCTTTCTGATACCTCTGTACTCGAAGAATGTCCATCCATATGCTGCAGCACCCGTAATAAGGTACCATGCAATCCCACCAGTGGCCCAGAAGACTTTGTTGTCATTTTTCTTGTCAAGTTCATCCTCGAAGCGCTTGAACAAGCTTGGGATTTGTCTCTCGGTGATTTCAACATTGATTGATCCCGGCGGCGCCAGATACCTCGACATAACCGGGTTTGTCGGGTTGGTGAGAAAGGAGAGTGTAGAATCGGTTCTTCCTAGAAATTGACCGGCTGCATTGTGGCAGAATGTGTTGTTAAATTGAAATAGCACATGTCCGTTTGGCAACGCACTCGATCTTCCTCCCATTCTGGGATAGGAATTTCCGCTCTCTTAGAATTGTTAGATCGCTAGTTTCTATGAAGTTGGCCGTTTCAACTCACCATCGTATAGGTAGCCCAGTGGGACAACATGCTTGATGATGAGGGGCCACACAACATATTTCGAAATTTCTGATGTTTCTTTGTGAGTAGTCGAAGCCATCTGAACGGAAGAAATGGAAAGTATCAGTTCTATTTTCGTAATGTTCACTGGGCGATAAGTTGTTTTTAATGGTGTTCTCGTGGGAAAAAGTTGCAGTTGTAGGGAAAAGCGAAAGCTCACTTACCATAGCTCTTGCCATATTTTATTACTTTAAAGATGAATGGCAGAAAGATTGACCCTGATGAATACTGAAGGATTAGGCAACCCATTGGCCCCAGAACCTTTCTCTGGACCAGCTGTTTCGTTCCAAAACTCAATCGGTATTCCCTTGCTGTTTCGCCTCTGCAGAGCGATGCGCCATTCTATAACTCATTTTCTAATATACTTCCTGCAAGATCACTTTTGCTTCAATATTTCAACGGCTTATCAGCGATACAACCCAAGCCCAAGAAATATAACTGAATGGATATAGCATTCAAGGTAAGTGCAGACAACGAAAATAGTTCATTTCAGGAGATATACTTGTGTTTAAGCGACATATTCACCATTAACCTCCGGATCAGGATGAAATATCTCATCAAAACATTCTAAGTCTGATTTCTGTTCGTAATCAAACCAAGCCATTAAATGTAAAGGAGGTATAATCTCATTGATTTCATCGAATCAACAATCAAAATGTTGTAAAACGGATCCGTACAATTGTTCGCCACAATCTAGGCGAATCAACTCGAAAAATGACTCCAAGTTCTTAAAGGAGGGTGCAGTAACTTTGTCCCGATATTTTTGACAAGGGATAACAAAATGAGGTAGCTTCTAGATAATCTACGCATCGTTTATTTGATACCGAGTTTGATATTTTCTATTGCTTCTGTCCATTCTTCATATATAGGAAAGCAAATACTCATTCGCTATTCTTCTTTATTCTCGCCGACTTGCAGCGACTTAGAGGTTGGCGGTATTGCCGAAGACATGGGATTTGTCTTTCAATGAGGTCCATCAAGGAGTGTCCTTAAAAGATGATCTAAACTTATACATCTAATAGCAAAGAAAGTCGTGTCTTATCAAAATGAAACCTCCAGAATACAAGAAACAGTGATTTGATAAAAC